CTCCGGTACAACATACATATATATATATATATATATATATATATATATATATATATATATATATATATATATATATATATAATTATATCTAATATATCTATATAATCTATATATATGACTCTCCATTAGGAGGGTCACTCTTATCAATCTTTCCGAGCTCTAGATCTGTCGAGTACATGCTTGGTAATCTAGAAATACGCAGGTTTTAAATTAAATCGTATTTCTTGTCGCAGTTATCTCCCTTTATCGAATAAAGTGCATTCATCCTCGCTGTTGTGACAATAGTGTCATTAGCGTGAGGTACGGACAGATAAACATGAGAACAAAAGGCGGATATAAAGATTATAACGTCGTAAAACTATCTCGTAAAAATTTCGATGAAGGTCTGCAATGCGATATTTTATCCGCTTGCAAACCGGCCGAATTTGCATCATACGATACACGATACTTGACTAACGTGGTTCCCATGAAATTGTTAAAATGTCACTAATCAATAGAGTGCGAACCGCACAAACGATTTCACAGAGATTTCACAAGATTTCTTTGTTTTCTCTTTTCTTAGCCAAAGCAACAGGTTCAGATCAATTCTCGTTCGCGTGCAAATAATCGACAACGAGAACTCGATTTGCATATAAAAATAAAGATCCGCAGTCGGTCAATCGATTTCCGTAAAACAGACGAAGACACCGAGCAATTGCCGCTCGATGCATTTTCTGTGGTCGAAAGACGAAACACAGATTTTGCGGACGGTAAATTTTTATTTGGTACATGAAATACTATCGACCGCTGGTGACCGACACGAGCCATCCTTTCCGCACACGTATCTACGACCGACATGGTGTTCGGCGATTTTCACACCGGCGCATATCAGCTTTTAAAAGCAGATGAGCGCGCCAAAATGTTCGAAACGACGCAAACGCTTAATTTACGCCGGTATTGTCTCGGCGATTCAATAGCATGAAGGCAGAAAAGCGTCGGGAACAACCTAGCGGACAGTGAGTCGTAGGTGTGAACGTCCACGATCTACGACGCAAAAGAAAGCGAGATTGCGTTTGTTTACGCGTCAGCTAGGAACACGCGAAATGGCCGCGGTGTTTCGACTGACAGCTGCTCCAATCGATCCGTGAAAAGAAGGTTTACTCACCACCTAAGCTCTCGTCGGAGGTAAATTTCACCGTGGACGACATCACAATGGCCGAAGGCACTTGCTCTTTCACTAGTACCGGGCGCGGCACTTACTAACAGTAATTTCAACTACCAACAGACACTTTTCGACAACTTCGCTAACACAGGGGCCGACGCATCCGCGGCGAGTCACCGTGATCAAATGCTCGACGAGCCGGCTGATCCTGCTTTGTTTTGATGAAACGTCAACACACGCACGTCACGTTCAAGCGACCAATCGCAGGTCTCTTTCGTCTCTATGTACATAAATACACTGCTCGAGTCAAGTTGCGGGGTACACCCCTTCTATTCGTTGCCACTGCAAACAACCGTAGTGGGGGTAGCTACAAAGATTCGACCTGATTCGACCGTTCGACCCAGAGGGCAGTAGATATCGTCGTACTCTGGCGGAAACGGAATCATGTTTTAAATCTCTGCGTCCCTTCACTTCTTTCAAAACATAAAATTACTTTTACATGGATTCGAATGCTTATGTATACATTTCCCTTTGCACGCATGCATTTAAATCCTCTTATTTAAGGTCAACATTGGTCCTCTTTTTGGACTTGAAGAAAGTTCATCATTTAAACTAATTGCTACGGAATAAGAACTTACCGTACACTGTTTCATAGAATTGGAATGTTGTGTTTGGATTAAACGGTAGTTCGATACTCCTTCGACTCTTTACAGTGTTTAAGTTTGATGACTAATTACTATAAAACATATAGTTAACTAAATTAATTTCTATAACATTTTTGAAATTCTGTCACACATAAGGCTTAGCGTCATTGTTACCTTGGCGACAGAACAGAGTAGGGGAAACCCAATTTATTCGCGAGTAAAGCCTGAACAACACGAAAGTAGGGAATGACGCCGATGACCGCGATGGTTCCCCTACCTTTCACTACGTGACTCAATCCACGTTCGTATTCACAAAATGACGCAGAAAATTGCACATACAATGTATGTACGTAATCAGATGTTCCATGCGATTCTCAAAATCTGATGTGGCAATCTTTAATTTTACAGGGTATTTTCCTACTTATAAATATCTGTTACATCGTTTTCGTTTGGATTCGCAGGAAAATACGAATTCTATCGAGATGAACGTTCGAGAACGTATCCTCGGACGAATTAAAGTTTCGATTTTTCTTTTTACGCAAAATGTTATTGTGCCTGATATGTATTGTACATTATTACTTGATCTTTTAATTGGATATACTGTACGTGTACAAGCAGATACGCAATAAATCTGCACGTTTACGCTGTTAATAATAATAAAATTCGATTGTACATTGTAACTTTGCAGAGAATGACTTTAAATAGATACTTGGAATCAACAAATACCTTGCTGAATTATTCTGCTCAGGCGATCCTATAATTACCGACTTTCTTTCAACCTTGAAAAAAATAATATTCATGCTATTTTGTAATCGAGTGTATCATCAACGTAATCAAACTATCGCAACGCTTGTACTTTCCACGGGCTAATACAATACTTGAGGCTTACTTAGAGAATATTATAAAGAACGAGAAGGATCTCAATACTTATACTCATTATTTAATCATTATAATGCACAGATCAAAATCAATATCTATCAACTTTTCGAGCACAAAGTGCATTGCTCTTTTTGCACATGGTGGCAGCACCGTCCCGGCATTACTCCAAGGGTTAATTTGTGTTGCACGACACGTATTTCACCCATGAACTGCGTAAATCGTGTTTTCTATCGCAAGTCGTCCGTAGACGCGTTCTTAAAAGGTATGTTTACACTTTACGCTCGGTACGAGATCATTCTTGGTCGTAATAACAATAGATAGACGGTGCAATTATGAATAAAGATTAAGAAATATCGGTTTGTCGTGACTACAAAATAGATAGTTAAAAATGGTTGCCCTGCAACACACGGATCTGTCAAGCGACATTCACCCGTATCCGATTGCTACGATGCGATAAACGTAGTTATTCAAAATTCTCAGTCGTTCGCATATCCAACGATAAATTAATTGTAAACGCTGGAACTCGCGATTTCGACAGTGGGAACCGCAAATTCGCAGTCTCTGCTACCATATGCGTAAACGAAACGATCATGTATTTAAACGTTCAGTTTGCGACTTTCGTACGACCAGGAAGGTTCAAGGTTGTATTTATTGTATATTGTTTTCAGTACGTTTAGATGAGATACGTTTTGTCGAATCAGTTCATCGCCGATTCCTTCTCGGATTACGAGTTTTCGTATAATACGTATTGTATGTATATCATTTATAATACTATCTATAAATTAATTTCCGAAATCACATTTTTTTTGCCACTTGTATGTTATTTTTATACGGATTAACGTGTAACAACTGAACAAATGCAAAGTAGAATATATCTTGCTGTTTGAGATTAAGAATTCTAATGTATGATAAGATTATTTGTAAAAAGTATCAATTGTATATAGACTAGTAGTTGTTCTTTCAGACATATTTGAAATAAAAATGAAGATACCAAGCAGCGGTTCTGGGAATGATTATGGCACGGAAACAGACATTATTACATACATGGAAAATAACTATGAGTCCGAACTCGACGTGCCAGAAGCAGAGGACAGTGACTTTTCAGAATATCTCTGGATGGAAAATGAGGAAGAATTTGACAAAGAGGTATAAAAATTATAGTTCTACTAGCATAAAAGTATACAGAAGATAAAAATGTGAATATATGTTTGTATATATAGGTGATCCAACAATTGATGGAAGAAGAACTAACAGAGGAATGTTTAAAAGCAATGTGGGAGGATGAAAAACAACTTGAAAGAAACAGTAGTATCGATACTGAAATTTGGCAACAATTAGACCGTTTAAGCCTTCCAGATGATGTTACCGAATGGGTACATTTTGATATTTTGTTAAGTAATATTATGGAATGTACAATGAATCTCATTTGTTTAATGTATACTTTCAGAGTACATTAAATCCAAATGCAGCTGAATTCGTACCAGCATTCAAGCCCGCAGTAACATCTGTAAGTACACCGCCAGAAGTAACTGCAAAATCATCATAGAAGCCATACATTCCCTTCTTTAAAGTAAACAAAAATGGACTGTATGTATGGCTAAATATTTACCACCCACAGTAACACAGTTGTATTAACCGGAACATATTAAAAGTTAAACAGCTGTGACTAAACGTACAAAGATATAACGAACGTCAAAGTGGATAATACGTAATGCTGTTATATGATAATCCAAGATTAATGAAATCAGTTGCATAACCAAAAATTTAAAAGCAAAAAAATAGAAAAAATAATGCTATTCAAATTTTTATAGACAGAAAATATTGCATAATATTATAAACGTTTAATTTTACATATATATTTTTTGGGAATTAATTAATTATGATATATACATAAATCACTTGTTAAAAAAATTTGCAATTTATATTTCTTGCTTAATCGAGGGCAATTATACACAAAAGTTGAGAAGTTTTCATTACTTTTGTTTTATATATATGTTATTACAAATTGAGGCAGCATATATGAAGGAAAACCATTTACTGATAAAGTCTCGAATCTTTAGTCAATTCGTATGAATCACCTTCACTTTTGTATTAATTATGTTGTACATATGTACACCCGATTAATTATTGTATCCAAGACAAGCATATCCTTTTTAATTCTTTCAGAATATTTCTTTTTATTAAGATCTGAAGGTTTTTATAATGTAGTATGCGTTTCTAGAGAAACACTTCTCCTAAGAGTTCCTTTTATAACACTTATTTTATACTGGTATACACCTTCCGTAGGATCACTGACATAAACTAAGAACAATATATACCGACGTCATTAAGACACGAATAAAATATTGCATTAAAAGAACAATATGCATATTCTGTTGCTGAAGCATTCTTATTATGTCCTTATTACATGGAACAACTTTTAACAATGATCTTGTATTGTAATTTGTTTTGTTTATTTAAAAGAAAAGAGGGAGAACAAACATCTATGTCATTATTTTGGTCCTCTATCAGCGTACATCTGAAAGACTTAAAAGATCTCAAATGAAAGTCTTATGCAGGCTGTGAAGGACTGATTCTATGGCTCTTCCTAGAGATACCATGAGCCATGTCGTTTACTTACTTTAATTAAGTAATCAAATTTTTATGAAACGATACTTCAAAAGTGATTAGAATATGTATATGAAATGTAATATTTGAATACTGTAAGTGGTGAGTATACAAAATGGTAATATAAAATTTAATATATATATATATAAATAGATATAAAATCAACATACTTTCCATTGCAACATATTTCATTAGTACATGTTTGAACATTAACTTAACAATCAAACATTTCGAATACAAAATTATAGTCTGTAGCTATTCAACCATAAATTCACCACTTATGTGTACTATTTGGAAACACATACTTATGTACAAATTTTATTAACATTTTTTGCATTGTGATAGATATATAAATATATATACTGTCAGGATTTTGTAAGATTGCATGTGGTAAATCTGTATTATTTTAGTCACAACATACTTTAGTACGAACGCAGAAACTGTGATTATAAAGCAAATTAAATAGATTTATCAAATATATTATTCACAGTTAAGACACTTTATTGATTTCATAAACGCTTCGTATTATCTTGCTTTTTAATTTTTTCACACGTATCTCGTATACCAATTTGTGGCTACTCCTTGTGAAAAACGAAAAAGTAAAAAAAGAAGTGTACACGTAGTTTGTAACGATATCCGTGAAGGAAACTTATAATACATCGATTATGTGAAACAGTTGAAATGAAATTCAAGCAATTTTCTAATTTGGCACATTT